CATCCCCAATAGGGAGTGTGCAGGAGGCAGCTGGTCGATGTTTCTAACTCTCTATCCCTCTCCCTTCCTTTCTGTAAAAAAATCAATAAAATATATATTTTTTAAAAAGATCTTCTCTTTTGCTAGTTTTCCAGTGATGACAGTGTACAGCTAATCACACCAATGAAGCTGTGCTTCGCTTTTACCTCTCCCTCTCTCAGGCCCTGTGCTCTGAAACGGAGGTTGCTCGGCCTGGTCTGTGAGTGGAGTCGCTGTCCCTTTCTCCCAGCTGCTTTTATGAAGGCAACAGTTTCCGTATCTCTGCTTGCTGCCACCTGCCATGTGGCTTGTGGGACTTACCTGTGCACTGTAAGTATGTGGAATACATTTCATTTACATTTGCATTTTGATGTCATGATATGTAAATTAACATAGATAGTTACAAAGTAGATTTATAAAAGAAATTATTTTCTTCTGTTTATTTCATTTTTTAGTGCTACACTTGAATGTAGTCAACTTATTGTCATCCCTCAAATGGCTTTGAAGTAGTCTTTGCAATTTCAGTCTTTAGATATTTATTATCATCTATATTAGATATTAAGAAGAATCAGAAAAGATACAATATAGTGAGTTTTCATAAATTTCAAGCCTTTGCTTACCTTTTTTATTATACTACATAGACCACTTACAGATTTGTAATAAGATACTAGTCTGCATTTTGAAATTACTTGTGAAATTGTACTGTCACCCTGTTGTTTTTATTTAACAAGTTTAATAAAAAATTAATACAAATTTTCTCTTTAGATGGAATTTGCTTTTAGGCTAATAATGATCTTGTAGCTTTAAAAATAAAATCTGTATTTAAGAATTTACTATCACTTAAGATCAATTTTTAAATAGATTTTATAAAATTTGACTTATCTTGTGATCTGTGGTAAGAGAAATGATGCAGAAATCACTGTTCATGGTAATTTTAGGTCTTTAAATGAGTGGTGGTTTCATAAGAAACTCTTCCTTCTACACAGCACATCCTGAGCAAGCCTTCAGAAGTGGTCAGAGGGGCTAGTTTGAAATTTTATCTAGTTTTCTTAAGAATTACCTAATCAGCTAAACTTCTTTAGATTTTTTTAAATTTTTTTAAATATATATTTTATTGATTTCTTACAGAGAGGAAGAGAGAGGGACAGAGAGTTAGAAACATCGATGAGAGAGAATCATCGACCAGCTGCCTCTTGCACACCCCCACTGGGGATGTGCACACAACCAAGGTACATGCCCTTGACCAGAATCAAACCCGGGACCTTTCAGTCCGCAGGCTGACGCTCTATCCACTGAGCCAAACCGGTTTTGGCAACTTCTTTAGATTTTAGCCTTAAATTCTAGGAGTATGGGGCAATCAGACTTTAAGGAGGAAAAGAAAGCATATTACTTATGGAAATTATCCACATTTGTGCTTAAATAGAACATTTAAAAAGTTTGTTTCTTTTTTTTTAAATAAATCTTTATTGTTCAGATTATTACAAATGTGTTCCTCTTCCCCCCTCTCCTCCAACTGCTCCCCTCCACCAGGTTCCCACCTCACCGTCTACCCTTTCTCCACCTTCCATTGTCCTCATCCATAGGTGCACAGTTTTTGTTCAGTCTCTTCCTGCACCCCTACTCCCCTTTTCCCCGAGAATCGTCAGTCCACTACCCTTCCATACCTCTGATTCTATTATATTCATCAGTTAATATTGTTCATCAGATTTTTTAATTCCCCTGGTTTTCAGTTTTACTTGTTGATAGTTACGTATTTGTTGTTCCTAATTTTTATCTTTATCTTCTTCCTCTTCCTAAATAACTCCCTTCAGCAAATTCATATAATTCTGGATTGGCGGTGATGAACTCCTTTAGCTTTTTTTTTTTATTTGTGAAGCTCTTTATCTGGTCTTCGATTCTGAGTGATAGCTTTGCTGGGTAGAGTTAAAAGTTTGTTTCTTATTACATTTAATTTGAATCAGTTTACTACACAAATTGCTCATATTTTCCTTTGCTGATCCTTTTTATCTGATGGTTTTTCAAGAAATAAAAATAAGAAAAATTATAATTTGGATTAATTTACATATCTATCTATACAAACATATAGAGTAGCAAAGGTAACTTCACGGTAGAGCTCAGTTCTAGAAGAGGGGAATATGTTTTATGGAAACGGTGACACTTGTGTTAGTTGGTAACTTAAAGATAACATGTGAATGTATCTGCCTCTCTCTGTTAGAACCATGGATTGTAAGTTACTATTATATACTACATCGTATATGCCATTCGTATTTCAAAGCTATAAAAATTAGATTCTGAACCTAGAGTTTGCTGTTGGGCCAACTCTTCCTCCCACGGAACTAAAGGTGTGCAGCTCTTTGAAATGCCTCTTCAGTAAGCTTTAGCTCCCAAATATAATCTTGCATTGAAAATCTGACTCATAATTTTTTATGAGTAGAGATATGCCAACCTTTATATTAGTCAGTGCTTGAAATTGAAATGGGGGGGGGGAAGACCCTAGTGAGTAATTATTAATATTTGAACATTTTTGACATACAAAAATGGCAATTCAATATACTAGTTAACATGGAAGTCTCACCAAAGGGCAAAATCAAAGGAAATGCCAGAATTCTTACAAGAAAAAGCAGGGAGGAAGATTGAAATAGTGCGAATGGCCCTAAATTTCTTCATACTGTAGATAGCTTCCAAACTTATAAGCAAGTTATCAAGCCAAAGTTTATTTGAAAATCAGTCATTTAGAAATCAAAATAACCTGGTGAATGGGGATTTCGTTGAGTGCTTACCAGAGAGATGCTCTTCATATGTTCTTTCTGATCTCTGAATCAAGAATAGGCTATATTACTTTTAATTTACAAAAGAAAGAGCTGAGGCTTGGAGACATCTTTCCAAACTAATATGATTGCCAAGTGGTGTAACCAATTATGAAACACAGATCTGCCTAATTTCTTTTTTTTTCTTTTTCTTTTTAAAAAAATATATTTTATTGATATTTTACAGAGAGGAAGGGCGAGAGATAGAGAGCTAGAAACATCAATGAGAGAGAAACATCTACCAGCTGCCTCTTGCACACCCCCTATGGGGGATGTGCCCGCAACCAAGGTACATGCCCTTGACCGGAATCGAACCTGGGACCTTTCAGTCCTTAGACCGACGCTCTACCACTGAGCCAAACCGGTTTCGGCGATCTGCCTGATTTCAAAGCCATTCTGTGGAATGTATATTAGCCACTGGGCTGGAAACAACAGCACATACTAAATCTTTGTAAACATTCTACTTGAGGCTTTTCCATTTTTTCCAGTTCTGAAGATATATGAAGCTTCCTTTCTATAAACATAAGTATGCATGGTGGAAGAGTTGATCTCAGGTTGAAACACCTCATAGAATCCTCCTGATCCTGAAAAACAGATTGAGCAGTTACTTTTATGCAACAGCCATGTCAGGTTGTTTCAATGTCATAGCTGTGAAAATTGAGATCATACGGGCAATTAAGGTGTGGCAGTTTCCTGGATTATAATATACTTTAACTGCATATATATTCATGGACCTAAACATTGTATAAATTTAATTGTAAGTCTGTGATCTCCAACACAGTATTTTTTTTTCATTTTTGGGAGTATCTGAGTTTCAGCTGGAAGAAAACACCCAACTCTCACATGTGGTAGGTAAGGTGCTAAGCATTGAGTCAAGGACTGAAAAAAATCCTACAAATGCATCTTAACACGTCCTTAAAACACCAAAGGGGCTCCTGAGCCACCCCTGCCACTACCTCCCAAGTTCAGCTTTTTTTTTTCTTTTCTTTCTCCTTTGTAGCTCTTTCTGATATCAACATCTTAGGTTCTCTTCTCACTAGTCAAGGGATCAGCAAAACATGTCTAGAGCAAATCTCTCCACTCTGCTTGTCTAACTGCTGCTCTAGGTTATTTCATAGCAGCATCAGGAGCAATTTGATACCAAAACATAATTTCATGAACAGTGCTTATTGAACTAATCCATTCATTTACAGCAAAATTTTAAGCATATTGAACCAATTGTTTTTATTGCAAAAATTCAGATTTTTTTTTTAACCCTCACCTGAAGACATTTTCCATTGATTTTTAGAGAAAGTTGAAGAGAGAGGAAAAGACAGAGAGAAATATTCGTGTGAGAGAAACACATTGACTGGTTACATCCTGAACTTGCCTTGACCAGGGCCTGGGCAGGGGAGAAGCCTGCAACTGAGGTACGTGTCCTTGACCTGAATCGAACCTAGGACCCTTTGGTCCACAGGCTGACACTATCCACTGAGCCAAACCAGCTAGGGCAACAAAAATGCAAATTTTAATAAATGACCCTGGCTGCCAGCATGCCAGCCAGGACCTCCCATCCCTGGCTGCCAGCTGCCAACTGGGGCCTTCTTGCGTTCAGTGCCGCCCCCTGGTGGTCAGTGCATGTCACAGAGATGTGATCAGTCTTCCAGTTGAACTCCCATGGGGATATTTTGCATATAAGGCTAGATAGATAGATAGATAGATAGATAGATAGATAGATAGATAGATAGATAGATAGATAGATAGATAGGCACTATGTTGTACAGCAGCTCTCTAGAACTTATCCATCTAACATAAATGCAACTTTATAACCATTGAACAAAACTGCCTATTTCCCCCACACCCTAACCTCTGGTAACCACAGTTCTCTGCTTCTATGAATTTGGTTATATTAGATACCTCATCTAAGTGAAATAAACTCTTGAAAAACTTCCAATACATTACCATGAGTCAAGCAGTCAATAGATAAGCCCATATTGCATAAATATACGGAAAGAGATTTAACAGAATAAAACAGGGAAGGTAAGCAGAGCTAAGATGTTTCATTTTCTAATGCAGCAAATAACTCAGAAAGTGAGCGCAACTGCTTTTATTTATTTGAAATACTTAAATAAACTATGATTGCAATGACTGAATAACAAGTGACTTTGAATTTTATTGTACTATTAGGAGTTGACACTTACTGGACTTACTTTAAGAAGAGAAGAAACACGGATTCATCTTTCTAGAAAAACAGTCTGAAAAGATAAAGGCCCATGGATGTCGCTTTCATTCCTGAAGACTTATCCAGTTGTCCAGACCTTGGAAATAAATCCTGCCCTCCCACCAACCGCGCTTTCCAAGTCCGGGTGCTCATGTATTCGATGATGACTGGAGCCATGGTGATCACCATCTTTGGAAACTTGGTCATCATGATTTCCATATCCCATTTCAAGCAGCTTCACTCCCCCACGAACTTTCTGATCCTCTCCATGGCAACCACGGACTTCCTGCTGGGATTCGTCATCATGCCCTACAGCATGGTGCGGTCCGTGGAGAGCTGCTGGCACTTTGGGGAGGGCTTTTGCAAATTCCACGCAAGCTTTGACATGATGCTGAGCCTGACCTCCATTTTCCACCTCTGCTCTATCGCTATCGATCGGTTTTATGCTGTGTGCTACCCTCTACACTACACAACCACCATGACCCCCTCCATGATAAAGCGACTGCTGGCCTTTTGCTGGTCGGCCCCAGCTCTCTTTTCTTTCAGTTTAGTTCTCTCTGAGGCCAATGTATCGGGGATGCAGAGCTATGAGATCCTTGTTGCTTGCTTCAAGTTCTGTGCACTTACTTTTAACAAATTCTGGGGGACAATACTGTTCACTACATGCTTCTTTACTCCTGGCTCCATCATGGTTGGCATTTATGGCAAAATTTTTATCGTTTCCAAGCGACATGCCCGAGTTATCAGTAACATGCCTGAAACCACAAAGGAGGAAGTGAAAAAAAATCTGTCTAAGAAAAAGGACAGGAAAGCAGCCAAGACCCTGGGTATAGTGATGGGGGTGTTTCTAGCTTGCTGGTTGCCTTGTTTTCTTGCTGTTTTGATCGACCCCTATTTAGACTATTCTACCCCCATCATAATACTGGATCTCTTAGTGTGGCTTGGGTACTTCAATTCCACTTGCAACCCACTCATTCACGGTTTCTTTTATCCATGGTTTCGAAAAGCCCTCAAGTACATAGTGTCAGGAAAAATATTTAGCTCCCATTCAGAAACTGCAAATCTTTTTCCTGAAGCACATTGATTTAAAAGCCATTAGAAAAATGAATAGAATATTGAAAATGAGGCTGTTATTATTTTTACCTGAGGTGCATACCTTACATCCCCAGATCACTGCAAATATTATTCTATCAAATTTCAGTAATATAGATGTTCTGTAACCTGCATAAGAGCTACATTCAGTACCTCTGGTCAGCCAATCAATCAATCAATCAATCATTTACTAATTGTTAACATTCACGTCTGACTGGTAAGAAAAATGTACAGAAGAAACATAAAACATAGTTGAGAATAGATTGGCCTTGAATATACACATGAAACAATTAAAGACCAATATAAGAATTTTTTAAAAGTGCTAATGGTTTTGGGTCCTCTCAGTTTCCACTCTAGGAATTCAGAAAAGGGAAGATCATTATGACTTGTGAATCCATAAAAGTGAAACGTAAGACTGGTATTTACTATCAACTAGAAGTCTACTTATCGTTTGGCTTGGGAGAATTATTCACAGTCATTATGTAGATTGTTTAGCTGTATCCTGGTATCCGGAAGCTCACTAGATGCAGCTGCTCAGAGGAAAAAGTTGATTACAAATCATCATATACAATTTGAGCTTTTATACTTCTGAGTTTTTACTTTGTGGCTTATATTGAAATGACTTTGTTTCCTCTGTCTCTAGCTGCTTAACTTGCATGGTATATTTACGCTTCGAGCCAACCATCACAAGCTTCTCCTTGGATTTGTTTTAACCACTTTCTCTGAAAGTTGCCTAAAGTTTTACCAAATAAATTCCATCCACACCGCAAGGCCACTGATTTAAGTCAGATCACTAACCCTAGGTAAAAGTACTTCCAGTAATTTTTCTCTGACACATTAAGAGACAAACAGAACCTTTCTTTATATGATAGATCAGGACATACATGAGCACATGTAACAATCATGTCCACATCTCCTCATACCTGGAATTAAGTTGTGGGAGGGAGAAAAGGAAAAGAAGAGCAAAGTGTCCCTGAATCTAAGTTCAGCTTTAGGCCCATAGAGAATGAGGGGTGATGTAGGGAGGCACAGTGGTAGCAGATGAGTGGTTTGAAATGCCTTTGGTGTAGAATGAATAAGAGAAGAACAAGAATGAATTTGCGGACAAGTAGGAAACTATTTATTGCAAATCCAGTTGAGAGATGAGCATAGCTTAGACTTGGGAGATGCTGATGAAATGGAGGGAAGCTGCCAAAGTCATCAAATACCACCAGATAAAACCAGTGAGACTTCTATGTAGGCTTTAGAGGGTGATAAAGAGGAATTCCAAGCATGATTTATAGATCCTGACTTGTGCAATTGGAAGTGTGGAAGATAGAAAATCCTGGAGGAAACCAGTTTGGAGGAGAAGGGAAGATCATGAGTTCTATCTAGGCATATTGGGAACTTGAGACATCCTAATAATAAATAAATAAATAAATAAATAAACAAACAAATAAATAAATAATTGGATTTAAGGGTCAGCACTCAGAGAAGTCTGGGGTAGAGATGGACCTGCAAATATTGGTGTGTAGCTGACATCTGAAAGAGAAGACATGGTTGAACCCACTTAGGGAGAGAATGTAGGAAAGGAAATGAGGACCTAAGACTAGCCTTGAGGAGTTTCCACTTAGTGGCCAGGTGGTGAAGATAAAGAAAGAATAAGTTCTGCTTTAGGTTAAACTTTGAATAGAAAAACTTAACCTGGCTTTTTCTTATTTCTCTTCTAAGACTTTCTTATCACATAACCTGACACCCTCTGTCCTATCCAACTATAAAAAATTACCCGGGCTCAGCTTGGGACTGGAAGGGCAATATGACCCCACAAGGTCTACTCCTCCTCAGGACCATGACAGTTTCATTCCCTGTACTTGTCAGTAGTAAAGCAAGTGTGGGCCTTGGCTGGTTTGGCTCAGTGGATAGAACATCGACCTGAGGACTGAAGGGTCCCGGGCACATGGTCGAGGGCACATGTTGGGGTTGTGGGCTCAATCCCCAGTAGAGGCTGTGCAGGAGGAAGCCAATCAATGGTTCTTTCTCATCATTGATGTTTCTATCTTTCCCTCCTTCTCTGAAATCAATAAAAAAAAAAAGGCAAATGTGAATAATAAATGCACAATTTAAGTATTTTAATGTTTACTAATCCAATCTAACTTTTGCTGGCCTTTAGGGGACTTTAGGCTGTGTCAAGAAGAGATATGAGGGCATGAGAATCACTGCCAGGCTCTTTCTTCCCCAGAGTCTCAAAAGACCTGAACATCACCCAATCAGGCCTCTTTCTTCACAGATGACAACATGCTAAGTAAAATAAGCCGGTCAGAGAAAGACAAATATAGCCGGCAGCTGGAAGGAAGGCCCTGGCTGGCAACTAGAGGCCCCAATAGGCCCTGATTGCCAACCAGGCCTAGGGAATCCTACCTGTGCACACATTTCATGCACCGGGCCTCTAGTACCATATAATCTCACTATGAACAAAACAAACTGACGACAAACTAGAAACAGAGGCATACATACATGGAACAGACTTATAAACTGTCAGAGGTTGGGGGATAGGGGGCGACTGGATGATAGAAGGCGAAGAGATTAGCCAAAGAACATACATAACCCATAGACACAGAACACGGTGTGGTGATGGCCAGGGTCAGGGAGGGGACTGAATGGAAGTGGGCGAAGGGGGGAATTGAGGACATCTGTAATAGTGTCAATAATAAAAATAAAGTTATATAAACAAAATTGACTTGCCCCACCCCAGCAGTGACTTACATTTCATAGCTAGTGATCCTTCTAGTGCTTTTAGCTTTCTCTCAGTTCCTGCTTTAAAAAGTCTCATTTGTTTCTTTACTTCTGAACAATTTCTCTACTCTAAAAACTTCATGGGGTGTATGTTAGGAAACAAAAAAAAAAAAGATTTGTTACACTTATTAAGACCATAAGGCAGACTTTATTCAAGGGAGTCTCCTACAATGGGGTTTTTGTAGTTGGAGGAGAGTGAGATTAGACTCAGCCAACTCTAAGAAGGTCAAATGCGGATTTATACCCAAAGAACAGGGTGAGGGGTAAAACCCAAATTTATGTTTTAAAACATCAGTCCCTCCTCATGTATATTCTTAACTAAATGGGCTGTTCTTCCCAAAAGTCATTAAAAACATCAATGGTCATTGTGGAGAACTTTTGAAATATCCAACCTTACTTTCTTAAAACCAAATTGGACAATAGCTTTGACATTTGCAAAATGGAATGGAACATCTATTTCATGTTGTATTTTGAGCCTTTCAAGCATTATCAGGAACCTGAAGTTGCCTTTTTTCTGAAAGAAGGTTTAAAAATGAACTGAGACTAACAACCTTTTTTTAAAAAAAATATATAGTATATTGACTTTTTACAAAGAGAAAGGGAAAAGGATAGAAAATTAGAAACATCAATCAGCTGCCTCCTACATACCTCCCACTGGGGATGTGCCCACAACCAAAGTACATGCCCTTGACTGGAATCGAACCCAGGACCCCTCAGTCCTCAGGCTGATGCTCTATCCACTGAACCAAACCAGTTAGGGCCTAACAACCTTTTAATGCAAGAGAAACTGTCTTCTGAAGCCTCGTGTTGCCCACCTCAGGACCATCTTACCCTTTCCCCTCCACTCCTTTGCTTCAGGATCGGTCTCTGGAGCTGGCCTGCTATTTTTTCATGACATATAGCGAGGGAGTTTTCATTCAGTTGGTTTGAAACATGGCTCTTACTGCTTTTTGTATGGGTGAAAACCTTTATTTGGAAAAACTGCACACAATGAACTGCAATGTGAATAAATATCCCTAACCGCATGCAGCCAAATGAAAAAATATAGATGAGTAGAATTTTCAGTAGGGTTTAAAGAACTCACTGTTTGAAAATATCTAGTCTTTGGTAATAAGTGAAGTTGATTAGAATTAAAATTCCTTCCTTCCTTCGTTGCTTCCTTCCTTCCTTTCCTTCCTTCCTTCCTTCCTTCCTTCCTTCCTTCCTTCCTTCCTTCCTTCCTTCCTTCCTTCTTTCCTTCCTTCCTTCCTTCCTTCCTTCCTTCCTTCCTTCCTTCCTTCCTTCCTTCCTTCCTTCCTTCTTCCTTTCCTTCCTTCCTTTCTTCCTCCTTCTCTCCTTCCTCTCTCCCTACCTTTCATATTTTCATTCTTTTCCACTTTGGCCTTGTGTAAGACTAGCCCACATTATCCCTTGGAAGTCAGAGGGCTGATAGCACATAACAGATTCACCCTCCCATAGCCAATTCTCTAGTGACTTGCTGTGATCTCTTCGCTGGCAGCACACTGCAGGTTGTTTAAGGACACACCTGTGTCCTGTTGACACAGGTAATACAGCTGCAGGAGGCATATTCTGTGTATAAATACTGATGGCAGTGCAGCCTGCCAGGAGCCTACCTGAGAGATCTGGGGCCTCAGTGCATGTTCTAGGGGGAAATCAGCCGGGAAGAGAGCAGTGGAGCACAATGCTCATTTTCATGGTAAGAAACTATGGCACAACAGATAAGTCACCTCTCAATGGTTTTAGTTCCAAAATACCTAATTAGCCAAACAAATTATGGTAAAACAAAGGAGAATATATTAAGAGAGGAAAATGATCAAATAGATCTATCTTTTTTTTTTTTTTAACTTGGTGAAAGGAATCATATTTAAAATACTGATCTGTGAATATAAGTCTGGCTCATTCTTTTAAATCACTGAAATTCTAAAGAGGCAATGAGAGAAAGACCTACCACAGATCTTTCTTAAATCTAATTTATAAGTGACCTCTCTTACTTAAACAAACTATTGTGTAAGTGAGGTACATCACAAGATAAAAGCATTTTCAGAGAAAGACTCAGAAGTGGGGTGTTTGAGCTGTGTAACCAGTAAGAGAAGAAAAAATCATGCCTGTGTCCTCTCCTAATTTTCCACTTTATTTACAGCATATTATTGAGCTTGTTGAATATATTCCTTCTTATTGAAGGGAATACATAGACCTTAATAAAATGTTAGGTATTTAACATTTAAGGGAAACATCACATAGTTCCTTTTTCACGTTTTTCCTTAAAATTCTGAGGAACTTTTAGATTTTTGAAATCTTTATTTCAGAGTCTTTGCATCTTTTTCCTTACTCTGTAACTTTTCCCTTAGAGACCTACATTTGAACTGAAAAACAATGCAATCTTTGCTCCTCTCCAGGGTTGTTAACAAATGTTTATTTTTACCTGCTGGCAAAAAGAATGAACGCTTTTCTATGATTTCATTAGGTAATTGTTTGCAATGTTGCTGTTAATTTGCTTCGTTGTTGCAATATTACATTCCATGATAAAAGCGAGATGTCATAGAGATGTCCATTTTATTAAAAACTACTGTATCTTTTGAGAAATTGAATCTTCAAAGAAAAATAATCTCTATTCTGTTTAGTTTTTAAATAACAAACAAAACTGCAACTGCATTTAATCTCATGACTACCTTTTTTTATTTTTAACAGAGCAGTAGATCAGCAATCATATTTGTATTTTCTTAGTTTTTATAACTTTTTATCAAAAGCTTAGCTAGGGGCTTAAGATTATTATTACCTTTGACATTATCTTAACAATTCACCCATGTGGTAACTTTTTAAATCAATGTATGTCTTTTTGTCTTAATCTAATAATAAAGATTTAAATATTCTCTAATAAATAATCATACATCAGAAATATGAGCTAATACCATTAATTTTTAGCAGGAAGCTTCACATTGTGTTTTCCAACAAATAAAATTATTTTATAAACATAAGAGTTAAATAATTTTATCTTTTAGGAATTGTGTTCTCAAAAATGAAACCTTAAACTCCAAAAATTATACCATGAAATGTTAAAGAGTATACTATTTTGTATTAGAAATGCTATGTTTATGTATATACGGTGACAAATAATAAATAATGCTGTGGTAATTGTTAGCTATCTTTAAATATAAATTTTAAAGGAACATTAAAAAGAGTTAAATAAAAAATGTAATTTCAAACCTAAAAATAAGAGGCGGAATAAAGTTAATCAATTAATTAAGTAAAGAAGATGATTAGGTTTTTAAGATTTCGTTATATTCAGTATCTTAGGTCTTAGAAACCAAGTGATAAGTAATGATTAACTTGTTCTGTGTATTTTAAAATTGATAGCTACAGTTTATTTAGAAAGTTAAGTGTCCTTACATTTTACTTCCCTATGTTTTGATTTAAGTAGCATAATATTTGATTGCTACCATTAAAATATATTTAAAGAAAAATGCTAATCTGAGAAATTAAATGACTACATTCAGAGCAAATGAGATGTGCTATACTGTCAAGATTTCAACTAATACACATTAGAAAGATTGCTAAGTTATAATAGCAAATACTATAAATATTATTTTCAAAGGTACTTTTATTCTCATTAATATCTTTCCCAAGTAAATCTGGTAGGATGTGCTTACGGATTTGTTTTCCCAATGAACCAAGGAGTTTTAATCTATTCTCAGGTCAAAGTCCACTTCTCTAACCTGGCCCTAGATCTCACAATGCTTGTCACTGGTCATCAGAGTTACACATCCAGTCCCAGACCTGGAAAAACAAGTCAAACCCATGTCACACTAGGGTGAGTCAGTCCCATTAATTCCACATTTTAAGAGCAACAGCTTAAATTATATAAAGCAACAGTTTACACAATGAGCACAGAATGTAATATAAAATTGTATCCCTGATACCTATCTAAATTTATTAACCAATATCACCCCAATAAATTCAATAAACAAATATGTTAAAAAATTAAATAAGTGACTAAGATTTTTTAGAAAACACACACACAAAAAAACAAAACAAAACATACACACACACACACACACACACACACACACACACAATGAGCAGGCATACATATCAAAGTTGTTTCCAACATGAGAATTTGAAATCTGTGGACAAAATGACCTCAACTTGGATTTGAATTCAGGAAATTGCTGTTAAATTAAAGGAGATAAACCATGAGATTTGCAGAATTTATCATTTGAGATAGTTTCCCCTTTATTTTGAGATTATTCATGTATATTCTTGTAGACATTAGCATATTTTTAGTTTACCTTATATTTTCTTAAATTTTAAATTCTGTGTAGTATATATTGCATAGAGAAATGTTTCCCTAATTAAATATATTGTGTGTATTAAGGGCAGGATCCAAAGCAGTGCTCCTGAACAGCAGGAAATTCCACCAGGAATTGGAAACACAGCTAGCTGGGCCTCTCTGAAAAGCTTCCAATGATTCTTATTGTTTTTCCTTTCCTTCACAGAAAGGAGAGGCACACAATACTTTTGCAAAAGACTCATAGTACCCAAGGGACCAAGACAATGAATTCACCTGACCTTTGGGACCCCGCAGAAGTGCAGTTTTGCTTTGCTCTGATTAACAACTCATGCCCTAGAAATGTGAGGTCTGTGCTGGGCGCCTCTGCCATGTACTTTGTCATGGTTGGTGCTATCGTGATGACCATCCTGGGCAACCTGGTGGTGATTGTTGCCATCACCCACTTCAAGCAGCTCCACACCCCAACCAACTTCCTGATCCTCTCCATGGCCACCACCGACTTCCTGCTGAGCTGCGTGGTCATGCCCTTCAGCATGATCCGGTCCATCGAGTCCTGCTGGTACTTTGGAGATCTCTTTTGCAAAGTGCATAGCTGCTGTGACATCATGCTCTGTACCACCTCCATTTTTCACCTCTGCTTCATCTCAGTGGATCGTTACTATGCTGTTTGTGACCCTTTGCATTATGTTACCAAAATTACCATTCCTGTCATAGAGCTCTTTCTGCTCATCAGTTGGTCTATCCCAATCTTTTTTGCCTTTGGCCTGGTATTCTCAGAATTAAACATAATCGGTGCAGAAGATTTCGTTGCAGCCATTGACTGCACAGGTTTGTGTGTGTTGATATTTAACAAATTTTGGGGGGTGATGGCCTCTTTTATAGCCTTTTTTCTTCCTGGGACGGTAATGGTGGGGATTTACATACACATTTTCATGGTAGCCAGGAAGCATGCTAAGCAAATTGGCATGGGTTCTATGACAAAACAGGTTGGGTCAGAAAGCAGAATGAAAGCATCATCGAAAAAAGAAAGCAAGGCCACCAAGACTTTAAGTATAGTCATGGGAGTGTTTGTGCTGTGCTGGCTGCCCTTTTTTCTCTTGACAATTACAGACCCTTTCATCAATTTTACAACCCCTGAAGATTTGTATAATATCTTCCTCTGGCTGGGTTATTTTAATTCCACTTTCAATCCCATTATATATGGCATGTTTTATCCTTGGTTTCGCAAGGCTTTAAGGATGATTGTCACAGGAATGATCTTCCTCCCTGATTCTTCCACCCTAAGCCTGTTTCCTGAACATGCTTAGGCAATGCTCTCTGTTTTCTAGGATTCTTTCCTGGTAGGGAATTTTGGATGCTCTTTCTACCCAAAGGTAGGGGAGTGGACAGAGTTGATAAGAAGATTCTTCCAGTTGATACAACACATATCTAAAAAGGAACACTAAAACTAGCCTTTTGGTATACCAGAGCTACCAAAGTGTCTAATTTTTAAAAATATATTTTATTGATTTTTTTACAGAGAGAGGGATGAAGAGTTAGAAACATCGATGAGAGAGAAACATGGATCAGCTGCCTCCTGCACACCTCCCACTGGGCATGTGCCCACAACCAAGGTACATTCCCTTAACTGGAATCGAACCTGGGACCTTTCAGTCTGCAGGCAGATGCTCTATCCACTGAGCCAAACCGATTTTAACCCAAAGTGTCTAATTTCTAGGGTTCTGAGGAAGGCATTTCCAATAAGAAGAAACTCTCTTGCTGACTCCTGAATTTCCAAATTAGAGATTTAGAATTATTCCTTTGGCTTAAATTAAATAATAAGGGTCTTTTGCTTTTTCTCTTGTAAACATCAGAAGAGAGGACACAGTTGGTTTTCACACTCACTGACAGCCATGCACAATTTATCTAAGTATTTCTTGAGATTATTGTTACATTTAGGGGAGTAGGGAGAGAGTTTGAGAGTACTGGGAGCCTGAATTATGAAGTATGTGACTGACAGAAAGGGAGAAGGAGACAATTGTATTTACTTCCAATTTCATTGGTTCTGACTTAAACTTTTTTCAAAATGAGTTGATGTGAGGTTGGCAATACTTTGATCAAATTGAACTGTCTTATTAAATAAGAATGGATAAAAAAATGTTTAGAAGCATATTCTTTCTTTTTTCAATATATACTTTTTATCTACATACACATGTGGCCTGCATTCATGTAGAGAGGTAGTCTGTCCATTTCTCTTGGGAGGGGGTGTGTGTGTGCACATACTGATTATTCACCAAGCCTGAGCTTCATTTATAAACTGAAGTTCTTTCACTGTCCCAGAGTTTGGGGATAATATTTATTGCCTCAATGAATGTCTCTTTTCTGTGTCCTTATGTCTATCTCTCCTTCACCAAACTCATTTTGTCAAATTTGTTTTTTTTATAATATTCTTTTCATTCCTCACACTATCTCTCTGTCTCTCTAATCTAGTGGTTCTCAATCAGGGAGAGTTATGCCCCTTGAGGATATTAGGCAATGCCTGGAAACATTTTTGTTTGTTACAACCAGCGAGGAGGTAGTACTGACATCTAGTGGGTAGAGGTAAGGGATGCTGCTAAACATCCTATAATGCACAGAACAGCCCCCTATTATCTGGTTCAAAAATTCAATAATGCCATGGTTGAGAAACCCTGTTCTAATTTCATCTAATCTCACAGCTTCAATTACCACCTAATTCCTTCAAATATATTCATCTTCATCCCTATCATTTTCCCCAAGATTCTCATTTTTTTTTTACTATTAGTAAAGTATCTCTTTTTTTTTTTAATGTTCCCTCAAGATCCCAAATTAAACATATCCAGCATTCTCCTTCTATGTCCATCCCACTGCCCCAAACCTGTCTCTTATGAATCCTGCTTTGTGTTACAGTTGGGTGTGCACAAGTATGTAGTTGTTCATCTTATACAATAAAATGCTACTATGTAAATTGTCCCCTCAACCAGGAGTTCGACTGGGAGTTCAACTGGGAGTTCGATCAGGGGGTGGTGCTGACTGACCAACCACCCTGGACCCCTTTCCACCAGTGGGCCATGTCCCAGATTGGACTCCCTCACCCCAATCGGGAGTGGGGCTTACTGGACCTCTAGTCTAGCCAAAAAGCTTCTTGTATGCAAGACTATAACCTTATATTATTCATGTTGGTATCCCGCAGTGCTTGACATGGTGCTCTTCCCATCAAAATCTCTGAGCACATTCAATGGATGACTAAACCATAGAAAATTTGAGGAAAATGAGAAAGCATTACTCAAATTCAGAAAAATAAATTGAACCTAGGACCCTTCAGTCTGCAAGCCAACACTCTAGCCTCTGAGCTAAACTAGCTAGGGCCCAAAAACCTTTTTTGGCTTTTTGGTCTGATTAACTTCTGGAGTCAGAAATCTATTTCCACGCACATAGACTTGGTACAAGGCAAGTCTTAAGCAATCACCACTGGTTTAGAGAGGGCTTTGTGGAGAAGGTGAAAGTACAAGTCAACCTTTTTTATTTGTTTGGACCTGTCCCACCTCATCCTACAGGCCCTGCTGATGGATGTAATTTATTATTACTGTTAGAATTATGTCATTTTTGCAACATCAGTTTGACTTATATTGTAAACTGATTTCACCAAGAGGCATTCCACCTTCTGAAGGTTTGGTATCAAGAAATAGAGATGAGCCCTCACCCGTTTGAGTGTTGACCTGCAAACGGAAGGGTCCCTGGTTCGATTCCAGTCAAGGGTACATGCCTCAGTTGTGGGCACGATCCCCAGTATGTGGCATGTAGGAGGCAGACGATCAGTGATTCTCTCTCATCATTGATTCTCTCTCATCATGTTTCTATCTCTATCTCTCTCTCCCTTCTTCTCTGAATTCAATAAAAATATATTTAGAAAAAAAGAAATAGAGATGATGGCTTTGTGATGTACATGCATATGAATCTATTTGTAGGTACTATTACTGATGGGGAAACAGGGATGGGGAGGGGAGGATAAGTGATGATTTAAAAAAATGGCAGAGCAAGAATCTCACTCCTCTGTGTCCAGGTGAACTGCTTCATCTACTGTGATTTCCTTAAACAGTACAAAACACAGAGCTTAAAGAAGACAAGATAAATTCAGTGTGGGGGTCACAAACCAAAGGATTTAGGGTTAGTTATTCCAATTATTTCTCTTGTTGAGAGAAATGTATACAAAAAACTTAAAGCAGTAGGGATATGTGAAACTCACTGAAAAAGTTAAAGACTTTACAAATCCAGTAGTATTTCATTTTCATCTCTAATTAATTGGCAGGATAAATAATGATCCTCTACTGAGAAGAAAGCAAACTACTGAGACCTGTGAATAGTGTAAACCAGGTCCCAGGGTACTTATTCAGTGCTCATTTGCATACCATACCATATGGAGACGTAGTTTCTATTTGGAGTATACGATCATTAACTAATTGCACATCTGTCATCTTTGCAGATGGAAGAGGATTCTACATATGTCTATCTGTTACAAGGACTTTTTCTCTTAAGTGATTCTTTTTTTTTTTTTTTTATAAAGAATACCCATTTGTGTACTTTTAGATTCTTTTTTTTTTTTTTTTTTTTTTTTTTTTTTTTTTTTTTTTTTACAGAGAGGAAAGGAAGGAGCTAGAGAGCTAGAAATGTCGATGAGAGAGAAACATCAACCAGCTGCCTCTTGCACACCCCCTACTGGGGATGTGCCCGCAACCCAGGTACATGCCCTTGACCGGAATCGAACCTGGGACCTTTCAGTCCACAGACCAATGCTCTACCACTAAGCCAAACCAGTTTCGGCTCTTAAGTGATTCTTATTCCTACCTCTGTAAATAGCTTGGAAACTCGGAATTCAATTTGTTAAAACTTGCTTAAACATTTTACAGACTAGTGTTAAGATAGATAAAATACTTTTTTATATCAGATAGTTTTCCCAAGATGTATAAATATTGTGTGTTAACTTTAGAAATTGTGCAGGATGCAAAGCTAAAACAGGGCAATTTCATTCTTTCGATTACTTGTATTTTGGAATTACTGATTTTTTTTTCCCTTGGGAAAAGTTGACATATTATTAGAAAGCTTAAATTATTGATTTTATTGTCAATTTATTTAATTCTCAAAAAGAGAACCCAGAAGTTACTTTTTACCCAAGTAATGAATTATTAACAAGGTTTTCTCTTTGAGAAAACATTTAGCTTATATCCTTCTTCTCTTTCCTTAAGGATAACATCTAAACTACCTTCAAAAGTCAGGTAAACCAGGGCTAGATTCAAGTCTTATGAGACCTCGAATCCTACGCTGCATTTGGTTTTCAGGGTGCATTTGATTCAGTGCCCAAGGAAATTTTATTCGGTTCCAAATTGCCCTTAGTTCCTCTCTAGATTTCACTTCCTAATTGTTTAGCAAACAAATAATTTATTTCCTTTTTCTTTTTTCTCTTTCTCTCTCTCTCTCTCTCTCTCTCTCTCTCTCTCTCTCTCTCTCTCTCTCTCTGTGTGTGTGTGTGTGTGTGTGTGTGTGTGTGTGTGTGTGTGTGACAGGTGGCCTGTTTGCAGAGAGAGGAGGAAGAATAGAAGCCATAAATGAGCATTGTCTTCAACCAAACTGCTGGAGAGCACCCCTGACCTTCTTCTACCAGGTGAATGGGTCTTGCCCCAGGATTGTTCAATAAGTTTTGGGTCTGGTTGAACTTCCCTGTTTTTTCCCCCGTGCCTCGTCATGATCAGCTTGTATGTAAAGATCTTCGTGGTTGATAATATCATAATTTTAAAGTCATCACAATTAATACTGATTCAGGCAAGAACTATCAATGTAAATCTGGCTGCAGGGGAGCGGAGGACATTGATGAAAAGAGGTATTTACATGGTAGGTAAAAGTAGGAAGGGGATTGGAGCGTCTTTATTACGGAACTATTTCAAAGGTAAGGTCTCCACTGTGCTTTGTGATTCTCTTATTTTTCCATACTCTGCTGCCCCTTAGTGGTCACTCTGAACAATATTGGGCTGACCCAACAAGGAGACTCAAAAGCTAAGCAGGTAAATGCTTAGAAGTGACTGTTTAAAAATGATTCCCTCCCCCCCCCCACCCCCCCTACCCTCCCCCCCCACACACACACACAAAGGGAGAGGAGAGGGCCTCCCAACCTCCCAACAAACACCTTGAAAGCATGCCAGTCCAAGGCACCCCTCCATAAAAACAAGGAAAGGTTTTTGAACTTTTGCCTTTGTAAGAATCATAGGAGGGACTTAGGGTTTCCAGGACCTACACCCGGAAGTTCTAATCTCTAGAA